GGGCCCTGCCTCAGGTGTGGTGGGGCGAGGCGGGGCGGGAGGGCACGGAAACGGATCAGCGCTGCTTAGTCTGCAGCGGGCGCGGCCAGCTCCCGGTACGGAGCCCGAGTGCAAAGCACACAGCACACTTGAGCTGTGGCGCTGGGCCGGCAGCCACTTGTCTCCGAGACAAGCCGCAGTGTCCTTCTGAGAGGGGTGGTGACGGGCCGGGCCGAGGGGGGCCTTGCGGCACCCCACTGCTCAACAGAGCACCCAGAGAGCAGTGCCCGCAAGCTTCAGGCTAGCCTCAGGCAGCCCGCACATCCTTGTCCCCATGCCCGCCACTCCAGCCCTCTATGCAAATGCTATGCCACCACAATTGTGACCAGGTACTATGATTCTGTATGATCTTGGAGAAATTCAGAGTGAATGAATATTTGAAAAAAAAAACTAAATGCCAATGGATTACTTTGAGATCAGAAAATACACTCAAATGCTAAAATAAAGGCTTGTTAAGGAAGGTTAATGGAGCTGATACAAAATCAAATCACATTTTCATGCTATAGCAAAAGCTTGTGACGGATGCTGTCATATGACAGCATGGCTTTTGCTGAAAGCAGTTTTCTTTATGGAAAGAATATAGCAGAGGCAAATGTATAGATACAATAACAAAAAGAGGTTTTTGGAATATCCCCTTCAAGATGTTAAAAAATAATCTGGATTGTTTGCACATTAATTTTGCAAGAATTTCTCAAATATGTCAAATAACCAAATGTCTTATTATGGCAGGAAAACAGGCTTAAAAATAGAAAAAACTTGTTTCATCTTCCTTGATTTTTCTTAACAGTTTCCAAAGAAAACTGGCTTCATATACTGGCATGAGTGCGTCCAACTGAGGTCTGGGAAAGAAAATTAAAATTGAACAACTTGCTTTTTTCTTTCTTGATTTTTCTGAACAACTTCCATGGAAGCTTTTGCTTCATACAGTGGAATGGGCTCATCAAGTAGCGGTCTGAGGAGGAAGAACGATTAGAAACGTCAGGCGTAGGCACAAGTGAGCACGAAAGAGGCAGCAGGTCACACTTTGGCTATAGTTTGATTGTATCCCTTCAGGTAATCCAAACAGCTTGGTGGGGCGCACACCTTTGGTCCAGCACCAGAGAGGCAAAGGCAGGGGGAATCTACGAGTTCCACATCAGCCTGACCTATTCAGCTAGCAACATAAATAAATAAATGAAAATAACATCCAAACAAAATAACAAACTCATCCATTAATATTTTACGGTTTAAAAGAATAGTAATTCCCCCCCTCCCCTCCCCTCCCTCCCTGTGTGTATGTATGTGTTTTTTCAAAATCCTGGAACTAACTTTGTAGACCAGACTGGCCTCTAACTCACAGAGATCCTCAGGCCCCTGCCTCCCAAGTGCTGGGATTAAAAGCATGTGACATCAGGCTTTCTCTGTCTCTCTCTCTCTCTCTGCCCCTCCCTCCCTCTCTCTCTCTCTCTCCCTCTCTCTCTCTCTCTCTCTCTCTCTCTCTCTCTGTCGATAAGGTTGCACTTGTTAGATAGCCCAGTATTGCCTAGAACTCATGATCCCTGCCTTAGCTCTCCAGGGCTGTGAATACAGATATGGTCCACAACATTGGACTAAATGTGTTTAAGTTTTGTCAGAAAAATATATTACTCAATCCTTTACTTTGTAAGTGATATCAAAACCCAATTTAAACAAACTTGGTACTTTTTTCCCCTCTTGTCAAGGCCCAAATGACTTCAAATTCTCTGGCAAGAGGGACAAAGAGGAAGGTGAGATACAGACTAGAATTGAGTGGGAAAAGGCACAAGGTAAAATCTCTGGGATACCCCTTTGGTGTACCAACCAGTACATTTGGAGAAGTGAAAAAGAACAGCTGTTTATCTGAAGTGAATAAAAACAGAGCTACTATGTGTACCATAAAACTGGAATAAAAACAGATGCCCACTTTTCCTTGAGAATAGAAAAACAACAATGATTTCACTTTGTTTTTTGGCATACCTGAAAATACCAGCCGATAACTTCTCCATCACGTCTCTTAAGATGCGTAACTGGAAGGGTTGTTAAGGTGGCAGCTTAATAGAGAGGGGACTAAATAAGCTGTGTAGTAAACACAGAATGCTGGCCTGGTCACTTCGATTTCCCTTTTGAAAAGTAAGTTTTGTACTTTCAAATTCAACCAGAAACTGTCAATCAGTTCTAAAACTTGTAAAAGGTTTGATTTGAGAGAACTTAGGTATGGCAGGAGCATGAACTTGTAAAGACAAGTGGTGAAGAGCAGCAAGCTGCCACTTAGCAGTGACCAAGATTATCCCCAAAGAACAGTTGGTGGAGTAATACATGGTTTTCATTTATGTACTGTGCACAGTGTTCAGTACTTACAGCTTTTACAGGAAGTAAACGTTTGTCAGTTAGTTTGGTTGAAATCACGTTCAATTTGTTTGCATAAATTCATTTATTTAAAAAAATGGAAAAAGCTAATTAATATATATGTATTTATGGTAGTCTGAATGAAAAATGTCCCCCACTGGTTCATGTATTGAAGACTTGGTCTCCATTTGTTGTGTTCAGGAAGTTATGGAACCTTTAATTGAAGGATGTGCTTTGTGGGGGCGGGCTTTGATGGTTGTATGGCCTCACCTCTGCTTCCTGCTTTCTTGGCTTCCCATGTGTGGATAATGGTGTGTTACCCCAGGTCCCTGCCCTGCTGCCAAGCCCTACCTCCCAGCCTTTATGAGCTGTATCCCTCTGGAACCGTAAGCCAAAATAAACCCTCCCTTTTATAAATTGCTTTTGATAATGGTGTTTATTTATAGCAACATATGAAGAAAGAATAAAAAAATAAGAAGGTCCAGAGAGACAGCTCACTGGTAGGATCACCTGCTGTGTTTGGAGAGGACAGAGCTTCGGTCCCCTGTACTCATACGGCAACTCACAAGTGTCTGCAACTGCACTTTCTGGGGACCTGATGCCCTCCTTTGATCGCCGTGGGCACCAGGTGCACAGACAACATGAAGGCATAGACCCATATACTGACATATACACCTTAGGCAAAATCAATCAATCTTCCAAAAAATACATGTCCTAGTACTGGTACTTGTAAAATTCAACTCTAGACATTTTGGAATACTTTGTGCAATGGTACCATCATAGGAGGTAAGTATGCTGTCTCTTGAGGTGCCATGCAATGCCAGGTCAGAAACAAAAGGCCCCGGGGTGTGTGCGAATGTGATCCTGTCTCCTGCTACTGTGTCCTCCTCTTTCTACCTGTCCTCACAGACAATGCTTGAATGAATGTATGGTACCTGTCACTCTCATACATGCTCCAGGAAAGCTCACAGCTAATTATAATTTCTTATTGTTACATTGAAAGAGCTTATGAGTAGGGTATAAGGCAAATCACAAGCTAGCAATTCAAATCAGTAGAAAAAGGATATAAAGGTATTTTCCCTGTTGTGCATTTGACAAATTCCAAACTTCATCATTAAGGAAAGCCACCGTTGCCCCCTTGAGGAAAAGGCAGTGGCTATCTGGAGGGTCCAACTTTGATAGAAGAAACAAAGACAAAACAACTATTATTAAGTTCAGAATGTAAAGATGCTTGAACCAGAAAACTTTTAATGCAAATTAATCATTATAGAAATCACAAAACTCAGCTACAAGCTTGAACAGTGTTTATTACTATTATGTATTTTTTTTTTCCTGTGTCATGATGAATTGGCTAGGACAAGGCAGATGCAGGGCCAATTTGGAACCCCAGGGATAAAATGGTAGAGAGTTATATATATGACAGGCTTCTTTGTGTGGCTTCTGGTGACTATCAGTCACTTTGTATGTGGGAAAGTGTAGACCAATATATTAGATTATAGTATTTGTATATTCGCTATGATATAAATATTCAATTAGAATTCCGTTAAAAGTATAAGCTTGGGAGGTAATTCATCTCTACACATATATTCTAACATCACTCTGGGTTATCAAATTATGACAATATTATTTATAAATTACAATTGTTTAATTACTAGAAAGCAAATTTTTAGGGTCTGAGATATGGCTCAAGTTATCAATGTGTTTGTCACACAAACACAAGGACTCAAGTTTGAACACCAGCACCCATGCAAAAGGCCAGGTGCAGGAGTGCACATCTGAAACCCCACTGCAGGGGATGTGGGGACTGGAGGATGTTTGGGTCTTAATGCCAGCCAGTGTAGCCAAACCGGCAAGGCCCAGGCTCAATGAGAGATGCCCTCTCACAAGACAAGTGGAGAATGATAGAGGGAGATACCAGATTTTATCTCTGGTTTTCCTCGCACATACATGCACACACACAGATAAAAGTGTAATTTGAAGTACAATTTAAAAATCCAGAGGCCACTGTATACAATGAACTAAATACAATTATAATTCATTCGAACTGAATGGACTTCCCTGCCCGATACAGTCTGGCCAGTATGCACCTAACATAGAGAAGAAGCTACATCCCTTTAAACACAGGGTGTAATTAGAACCCATACCCTTCTTTGCTAATGACATTCCCTCGGTGTAATAGATAATAGCAAGGCTTTTTATCTCTGATAATACCTGAAGGTTTTCTTCTGTTGTTACCCAATGGCCTCCAACACCAAGAAGTGTGATGATGTCATGCTTATGTGGTAGCTGTGATTTTACAGCCGGCTCGTCATCTTTACTATATAATCTCACTTACAAATGCACAGTTGAAAAAGAGAGAAAAGGTATAATTTATAAAAATCTGACAAAATTTATTTGGCATATCAGTCTTTTATATAGCAAGAAACACTTTTCTTAGTAAAAGGCAAACTTAGTTAACTCTAAGCTACACTGAAATGTATTCTACACTTAATTGAAATTAAATGCAAACAAAATAAATTTTGATTTGGAAGCAAGCAAGGTAATGCAACTACATAACTATGTCTGACGCTAACCGTAATAACGTAGCTTAATACAGTGGGATGACTGCTGTCTCTTTAAAATACTGAGTCACACACACTGAAACACACATTTGAAAAGTGACCACACTAAAGTACACTGTTCACTTCCACTGATGATTTTTATGAGTCAATTTCAGTCCTGGAAATCACATATTAGAAAGGGACACACACGATGGCTATTGTCATACTCAACAATAAAATGCAAATAGAATTGCTATGCGGTTCACAACACTAATCTTACAGAAGTAAATGGTGCCACCTAAATGTGCACAGATTAGGTGTGAAATAGATCCAAGTTAAATAAAAAGCTCAAGAAAGTGAATGGAGCAAACTTGTTTTTCCCAAATAGAGGGTACAGAAGTCACCCATCCAGCAGAGGGTAGCCACACAGAAGTAGCCATGAAATGCTGGACAGGTATGTATTACTGGGGACCAACAGAGTCTACTGATCACAGTGACAGACAGGTTTCTTCTTTTGGAGAGGGATGTTCAAGACAGGGTTTCTCTGTGTGGCCTTAGATGTCCTAGAACTCACTCTGTAGACCAGGCTAACAGAGATCTGCCTGCCTCTGCCTCCCCAGAGCTGGGATTAAAGGCTACCACCACCCAGCTGGTAACAGGTTTCTTACAGATATTTGCCTTTTGCTGTTTAAATTTTAGTGCCTAAGGCTTAAAAGGCACGCCCCCTCTTCCAGAGGACAGGGTTGAAGATGGAAAATTGAGTGAAGGAGTTATACTTTAAATAGATGAGTTTTTAATTAAGATTAAACCCTTAGAGGAGACATCCAATTTTATGAATGCAGTAATGATTAGTTCCCAGTTATGCCCTTGTGTAGTTTATCAAACTAAAAACATCACACAGGCTGGTCATGGTATAGGTACCCACCTCCTGCGTCTATGACAATATCTACTCCCAGGCCACCTGTTTCCTCCAAACAGCTTTCAGCAACATGGACTTTCCCACTAGAGATGTCAATCACGCGGGCTGTAAAGGACGGGAAGTCAGGCAATTGTACAGTTGTGTGTGATCAACACATGCAAGTCAGGATAGGAAAAGACAAGTTAGTGAGTGTCTGCTTTTGAAACAGATCCAACAATTATTAAATTTAAAGGAAAATGTCAAGTCTGTTTAGACTTTTTTCTCAAGGAACTCAATATTGATTGATAAAGATCAATCTAAAGGAGAGGGTTGGCATATTTGTAAAATGAATGAGTACATTTTGACCCAAGGCTGTTCTGTTGACAAAGGTCAGCTGTCTGAACACAGGTTAGATGGACCGGACCCAGACACAGCACACACATCAGGACAGATGTCACTGCACGCAGAGCTGCGTCCTGTATTTGTACACTATGGTGCTCGTGTGTCAGAGGCCATTTTGTCCTCTGCTAATCATGGAAACCCACCTTCCCTCACTGTCCTCTAGCTCCCCCAAAAGCAGAGCAGTTCTGAAAGTAAGGAAAAAGGAAAAGGAATATGACTGGTTGGGGAAGAGTGTGTGTATGTGTGTGTGTGTGTGTGTGTGTGTGTGTGTGTGTGTGTGTGTGTGTGTTGTTAGGTCAGGGGTGTGAGCAAAACCTGGACCTTATGAATGACAAGAAAGCTTTTTACTACTGAGCGTTGTCCTTTGCTCTTAAAACAGAAAATAGAAAATGACTGTTAATAGTACAACAGAACTATACAGAGAATTGAAAAAAGTTTCTCAGAATCTGAACCAATGAGGATATAATTATATTTCATTTTGGTTTTTTAGCATCTTGTTGGGGAAAGTGTCTTTCAGAGCTATTCAGGTCAGAGGCTCAGTCGAACAGCAGCACTGTGTGACTCTTTGGTGGTGAGATGGGGAGAGAATGAGGAGCGGTGGCTAGGAAGGCAGGGGCTGGGGAGAGCTCACTAGTTAAGAGCACTGCTGCTCGCTCTTCCAGAGCGTGCGCGCCTGAGATCCACCCCAGGCTCCCAGCACCCATGGCAGAGGGCTCACAGCCGCTTCCAGGCCCCGGTGATCTGATGCCAGCTTCACACTCTGCTCAAACCAGCACACGTGTGTCACACACACAAATACAAATAAATCCTAAAACAAGCAGCTTTTAAAAGGGTGCTGAAGCAATCCAGAAAGGCAGAGTTAGCCAATAGGAACCATTTCCAAGACTGCAGTTTCGCCCTCTCCCTCCACTCTCGCTGCTCTGATAGACAGGGTTCAGTGACATGTAGTCACTGAGCTACAACTCACACCTTCCTGCTCCTGACCCTCTGTGTGCGCATGAACACTTGCAGATGCATGTAGGTGTTGTACATGCACACACATGTACTTCCGTGTGGGAGACTAAAGTCCACACTAGGAATGTTCCTCAATTGTTGCCCATCGAACAAAACAAACAAACCCCCCCACCTGTTTTATTGTGTGCATGTCTGCATGTGTGTACCATTCGCACACATGCAGAGCTCAGAGAAAAACTCACGGGAACCATTTTTCTCTTTCCACCATGTGGCAAGTGCCTTTGCCCTGTGGCCATCCACATTTGTATGTATTGGAACAGGGTTTCCCACACAATCTGTGGCATGTGACTTGAGCTACTTTAGCTAGCCAGCTTCCCTGGGGTCCCATCCAGGCTCCTCCTCCTGAATGCTGGTTAGAGTCACATGGTCCTGAGGCACTGGAGTCTGCTCTTCCTGTCTGAGTGGCAGCCGTGTTAACCACTGTGCCATCTCCCTACCCCAATTCTATTTTCAAATCTCCTCATTCTCTACCCTCTCCTCCTGCTGCTCTTCATTACTGCCCTTCTATTTTTGCTTATCTTTGTCAGATGCAGACTGCAACCAGGGAAATAGCTTGGCCTTCAGTGTTACATGGGGCTGGACTAAAATCTTGTCCTAGAACTTTGTCTCATCTATCTCTTGGAGAAGCTTTACTGACTGTGCAGTGAGGGTTGAGGGACCCGAAGAGGGAGCATCGTATTTAACACGGCCCTCCCCACACTGCTCTTCCCTCCTCTCTGCTCACTTGTGCGTCTCACCTGCTTTGCTCTCCACTCCAACCTCGCCCTGTTCTTGCTGCCCAGTTTCCTCCTGGCTCCCCCTCTTTCTTCAGATGAGTTCAGTCTATTGAGAGGCCGCCAGCCTCTACCATGGTTTGGACGTTTCAGCTGATCTAACTCGTGTTTATGTGCACATGGGTCACCTGCTTCTCAGCATTTTACAGAAGACAGATGGTGTTAGAGTCACACATGGGGTAAAAGGATGAGAAACACACAAAGTGAGGTGAAACTCTTTTGAGCAATCAGTTGAAATCGAAGAAGCAACTGCTATTTCTGACTCGTATGAAAGTTGATTTAATTCAAACTTGATTAAGTTGGTAACAATAGGACAAATAAGAAAAAACAGAAGATGTAAAATGTTGTAGGTTCAGAGCCTTAAAAAGGGGCTGAAGATGTGGCTCGGTGGTGGTCCACTGCATGCTACCGTGCATGAGGCCTGGGTCTGACCACCAGCACCAAGTAAACCAAATGTACAAACATCAGCAATAAGAAACTTCAGGAATGAACTGTTCGACTTAAGTAAATCTGGGTTTAGCAAACATGTGCTAAGAACATTTTAAGACTCATTTTTACTTGGGATTCTATACTTTGTTTTATCAGCATCAGGTTTTTTGTTTGTTTTTTTTTTCCCTCCTTTTTCTTTTCTTCTACTTTTTTTTTTTTTTTTAAGATATTATCTCAATGGGTAGCTCAGGCTGGCTTTGAACTCATGATTCTCCTGCCTTACTCCACTGAGTATTGGGATTACAGACAAGAGACACCATTCCTGGCTACCAGTTTTACTTTCCCTGCAAAACTGCATATTTTAGATGGTCTATACTGAGTAACGGAACATGGAACGCACCTATAGAAGGCCTAATCCTTTCAAGATGTTGCTTGTCTTCCAGGCTGCATGCTGTTGAAATCACCTTGGCTCCTCTATGGTGTGCTAACTGAATGGCTATTGTGCCAAATGCCTGTGTGGAAATACGTATCAATGGGTTCACAGATACAGATGAAAGGACATGCCTAGTTTACTTCACAGACCATTCAACACGTATAATTCTTTAGTATTACTTTAATATATTTCAAAATGTTACATGGTAGAACAAAGAAATAATACGCTCAAGCTTAGCAGGGCAAGCATCTGACTGATCCCTTCAGAGCTGCAAGGTCAGACTCTACTGTAACCACACACACACGGTAGTCCAAAGATGGAGGGCCACGCTCAGAAACATGGGCGTGGAGGATAGCAGCCCATAAAGGCAACGTTAGTCTAAGCTGGCTGGCTACATGGCACGATGGGAATGTAATTACACTGCTCTAAAGATGGCGACACCTGAGAAGCACCATCTTAGGAAAGTACCACTCTCCTGATGTTGGATATCAGACTACAGTCAATGCTGAAGATATTTCTGCCCCCCACCCCAGAAATGGAGGTATCAGCCTGTTAAAAAATAAAAATATGATTTTTAGCCTAAGTCTTGCACCTTTTTTTCTTAGTGGATCATGTAGCAATTTTTTCTTTTCTTTCTTTTTTTTTTTTGGTGAAACATACAATTCACTCAACATGAGCACGGTTTAAGCATGTATATGACCCACCTGATAAATGCCAACACCCTTACTAGTGTAAGCAAGCACTGAGGTTATGGTTCAAACCTGGCCGAGAGGTGTACAGTGGCCCCTACAGACTCACAGCTGTTTCGGACCCCATGCAATAGTTGAGAATAAAAAGACTTGGCTAGGACACAGCCCACTGACTGGCAGAGCACTTGCCTGGCACGCCTAAGCCTTGGGTTGGTCACCACCACTGACAAGAAAAAGAAGGAAGGAACACAAGTCTAGCTTTGCTTTTTAACTTAAGGGTGGACTCAGAGTAGTTAGAAGCTGGCACACTAAGCCCCGCTTTGGCGTGCTGTTGGTAAAAGCTGCCTGTGAGGCTAAAATGGGAGGTTGGAAAAGAAATCTAACGACTGAATGATACAGAGGCTATCTGCAGACAGAACCCTCCCATGGTTCCTAGGTTGATGGTGTATTGGTAGAATTTTTTTTTTTTTTTTAAACAAAATCAAGGGACTCACACTTGCTCCATCCATGATCAGCACAGACTTTCCGGGAGAGAGGTGAGAAAGATAATACAGAGCTGTGCAGGCTCGCACACCATCCCGAATGGCTCCAGCAGCTGCCGTCCACGAAACCTTTTCTGGTTTATGAACTATCACAAAAACAACAAACAGTTCATTAGTAAGTTCATTACTGCCAACTCTTAGATTCAGTCAGATGCATCTCTACCACAGTGGACCACTGCCCCTTCTCCAGCCCTTCTTCATCATGTCACAGTGTCTCTGTTTTTATCGTGAGGCATGAAAAAGCCATTCTTATAGGAGTGTCAGAAGATAAAATATACCCCAAAAGCACATAGGGCGCAGCGTGGGACCGACTGTAACTCACAGCAAGTAGCTGCCTTGCTGGCAGCAGACAGCAGGTACCGGTGTCTCAGCCTGCGCTCTGCAGCTCTTGCTCAGAGTTCATCATGTGTGTACTCCTGCAGTTACCACTTCTGCCTGGCTCTGAAACTCATCTATGTAGAACCATGCATTCTTTTCTACTTTGCTTTTTTATATTTCATATTGTTTTTAAGTTAAAATTCTTCTTTTACACTGTGAGGACGTATGGATATGACACAGCCCATGTGCAGACAGCAGAGGGCAACTCCCTGGGCCCCACGTTAGTTTTTAAGCAGATATTTCCTTGTCCTCATTAGAAGGCCATGGTGGGTGAAGCTTTCAGTTTTACTATTTTGTGGCATGGACCATGTGGAAAAGTCTTTGCTTGTTTGTCCATTTCTTATCTGATGGACACTTGTCTCCAGTGTCTGGCAGTTGAAATAACATGGCGAAGGATGTCAGTGTATTGATGTTGAAGAGGGAACCAGTCCCACAAAGGCACTGCTGCTCGAAGAGTCAATGGTGCTGTCAGAGTCACGCGTGTTAGCCCACCACATGGGTACGCAATGGCTCTTACTGTGACTGTCATTCTCTTTCCCCTGACTACCTCTCATGATTGCTGGCCTTCAGAGTCCTTTTATGAAGTTACTGTTGAAGTCTTGGTCAAACTCTCTACTTTCTTGGCTACTGTTTTATGGGAATTTTTATATGTTTCAGATGAGTCATCTCTTTATATGTTACTAATGTTACAAGCTGTGCACCCTGCAGAATGCTGGAGACAACAAGTGCGTTGGATCTCAGAACATTTGCATATACATACTGAGCTATCTTGCAGGCAGGACCCAATTCCAAATTTAAAATTTATTTGTTTCACATATATTTTATGTATATAGCTTGAAACTAATTTTATTTACTTTATCCTTAAAGATTAACTTATTTCAGTTTTATGTGTATAGCTGTTTCACCTTCACACATGTCTGTACACACTTGTGTGTAGTGCCCACAGAGGGCAGAAGAGGGTGTTGCCACACATGAAACTGGAATTACAAACACTTGTGATTCACCACATGGGTGCTGGGAACCAAACCCAGGTCCTCCAGAAGAGCAGCCAGTGCTATTAACACGCCAGCAATGTCTGTAAACCCAGCTCTGCTGGATGATATCTGAAGTCCATTAGCTGGGCAGGATGCTGCACTGTGATCACAGTGCTTGGGAAGCTGCAGCAGGGGATTATGAGGGAAAGACCAGCCTGAGCTACACAGCAAGACCCTGACTAAAATCAAAATGCAATGGCAAGATGGTTCAGCAGGTAAAGGCACTTGCTGCCATTCCTGAAGGCCTGAGTTCAATCCCCCAGGAACCACACGGTGAAAGGAGAGGACTGACTTCTGCAAGCTGTCCTCTGATTGTCACACATGGACCACGTGGTATGCATCATATGCACGCACACAAATCTAAGAGCAACCCCAAAACATACAAATAACACCCTAGCACTTCTTTTCTTAAGTGGACTCTTCAGTGCCTTCCCATTGCACTTGGGGACAGATGTAAAGTCCTAATATAGTTTTAAAAGCTCAACATACATGTGAGTATCATGTTGCACACACGTAATTCTAGAGCCAGGGGACAGAGGCAGGCAGATTTCTGTGATCTCCAGGCAATCCAAGGCTACATAGTGAGACCCTGTCTCAAGACTAAACAAACAGGTAACAACCCCCCCCCAAGACCCCTCAAAATGGGATAATAAACTAAAAAAATAAATAGAAGTTCTGTACGATCTCCCACCAAGATGTTTCTTCACCTTTTGAATGCTTCTTACGTCCAAATGAACTGTGGTGTTGTCACCCCTAAAAGCAGTCCTTCCTGATTTTATCTCAGATCGCGAGTCACACTTTTTATGTGATCTGGTCACAGAACCAGCAGCGAGCATTAACAACAAACCGATGCCACCTAGTGGGCGGATGGAGCATCCACACAATATGGTGGAAATGCCCAAATGAATGCTGGGAATGAGATGAAAAAGGTCACACTAAGTGCGATATAGAGTGTTTCTTTATGAAACTCTCAGGACGACCGCCATGATCTATATATACGCCTTCAGCCTTGGTTCCTGGTCATGACTCCCACTGCCTATTTTATTTTTGAAATGACTGTAAGTGTATCTTTCATTAAAGTATTTGGACTTTTTGTCCTTGGTTGCTTGATGAAGGTGCAGGATGGTCTTTATGCTGTTGCTGGGGTATGTCAGGTCAGAAGCAAGCTCCCTTCTGACTTTATACACTAATCTATTGCTGTTCTGGTCTTGGAGTTGACTTGCCTTGCCTGGTAGTAGACATGAAGAACTCCATTCTAGTTCTGGGAGGGGGTCCCTGCCCCGCGTCCAAGAGAAAGGAATGAGAGAGGTTGAGATTGTCCTGCGCATATCTTCATCTGTGTTTATTTATATCCTTTACAAGAAACCAGTAAAGGCATTATCTTCACTTCTTTACAAAATTCAAAGTGACGTCTACTCATTTTATGTGTCCATGTTCTGCCTGCATGTATGCGCATGTGCCACAGGCGTGCCTGGTGCTCTTGGAGGTCAGAGGGCATCAGATCCCCCTGGAATTGGAGTTACAGATGGTTGTGAAGTGCTAACTGGGTGCTGGCAATCCTAGGTCTTCTGCAAGAGCAACACATGCTCTTAACCACTGAGCCATCAGTGACTCTCCACCCTCAGCTCATTTAGCCATCCGCACAAACAAAACAAGCCTAAAGCGGGAACCCTAACTCTCTCAGAAACCCGGAAGGCGCACGCTTGTGACTATGTCACAAATGAAGGCAACCCTGTGGGACTGAGCCCTCAACCTGTAGCATCTATGCCGTCTCCCAGAAGACAGCATCCGAATTAAAGAGAATGAAATAGGAACACAGGGTCCTTAGTGTGCCTAGTGCAGAATGGACTGTTGTGGGGAAATCCCCACACACTGAGGTTACCACAGGAACCATCCATGTTGAGAATACAGTAAAATAAATAGGCTCTGTGTTTGTTTTTACTTTCTTTCATTTTTTATCTACCCAGTACTACTCTTCCAATTTTGCTGATTATGAAATTAGGTGTGGAATAATAACTGGCTTGCCTAACGCCTCTTAGGTAATAAGGCTGAATATGTGACTTAAAGTATATCTCTTCTTAAGTTCATCTGTACACATTTTACTTGTGTGGCCTATTTGGAGGCAATATTTCCTCCCATAAGATTTCACTTTATCATATTTTATCAAAACTTTATTCTTAGGACATAATCCCAACAATTAGAAGAGTGTGCAAGAGAATTACAAATCTGACCAGCTTTGGATACACAGTGAGCCTTGTCTCAGAAAGAAAAATGGAAGTAAAGACAGTAAGGAAATTTAAAAATGCATACATATATAATTCTAATCACACATGCATGTGCACACACATGTATATGTACACATATGTACACACCATTCATGCAGTCCTTCAAAAAACATTAAGGGCAATGAAACTACATTTAACATTCTTTTTTTTGGGGGGGGGTGTTTTGAGACAGGGTTTCTCTGTGGCTTTGGAGCCTGTCCTGGAACTAGCTCTTGTAGACCAGGCTGGCCTCAAACTCATAGAGATCCGCCTGCCTCTGCCTCCCGCGTGCTGGGATTAAAGGCGTGCACCACTACTGCCTGGCTACATTTAAGATTCTAAAAATTGTTTTGTTAAAGATCTATTCTACTAATTTATGTATGTGGGCACACAGGAGGTTGGAAGAGGTCGAGATACTTCTTGTTGCTGGAGTGACAGGAACCAGTGGGCTGGTGAGTGTGGGGCTCTGGGATCTGAACCCAGGCCTCTGTGACAGAACAGCCAGTACTCTCTCTCAGCTGCAGCACCACTGTCTTTCCAGTCCAAGACTCCAAGGGTTCTAATTGTCTGCCTGAGTCTTGCTTCTGCAGTAGTTACTCAATGCTCATTATGTGATAAAGACTAAACAAATAAATAAAATACGGATCAATGATAGACACATGAACAGTGAGAATGAACATTACATTTCTTTTTAGTTTTAGCCCAGAAAAAAAAGGGGGAGTGGAACAGTTGAAAATGTATGCCCAATTTTGAATGAAAAAAATAAAATTATTTCTAAGTTTCTCAGAGTTCCTTAAGAACTAAAAGCAGTTGGGGCTGGATAGACGGCTCAGTGCTACAATGCCAAGCACTGATGAGCCAAGTCTGATGACCCGAGTTCCGTATCTGGATGCCATGGCGGAAGGAGAGAACTGACTGACTCCTACAGGTTGTCTTCTGACCGTCGTATGTCCATGTACACAATGAACAACTACATGTCTAAAAAGGAATCAGAAGCAAAATTCGCTACCCTAGCTGGAAGGACTACACAACTTGAATGTATCAGTGGCACTGGGGAAGTATTCACATTTGGGAGGTGATCTGGAACCTCATTCTTGGGTTTGGTCAAAGAGCAAAACTTCCTTGAACTGAAAGTGACTGAATGCTGAGTTCTCACTCAATAGTCACCAAGCTAAGCATGAACAGAAACTCAAGAGTCTCAGAATACCCAAAGCAAAGTTTCATGGAGTGTACTGAAATCATCTGCCCGTAAAATACTGCAGCGGCAGACAGAACACAGGGATGCTCACCTAAAGCTCCCACTCTTGGTGGCCATTTGTTAATATTTTAAAGAATTATCTTTATTTATAAGTATGTGTCCATGAGTCTGTGTATGTGTGCCGCAAGTGTCCATGTCCATGACAACCAGCAGAGGGCGGCAGATCCCCTGGCGCTGAAATTACAAATGGTTGTGTGCTGGGATCCAAACCCAGGTCCTCCAGAGGAGCAGCAGGTGTTCTCAGCACCCAGCCGCCTCTTTAGCCCCAGAGCGGCCATTCTTACAGGACTTGGACTGCTCTGATACAGGCTCTCACATGTAGCCCTAGAGCCCCTCGTCTCTGGCCTAAGTGCTGGGATGACAGCCATGATCTATCACGCCTGGATTCAAGGACTCCCAAGGAAACATCAAATCCTGGTTTCTTCCTCAAAGAATATCTGTCATTGTTTACATACTTTGGTACACTTCTGGACTACAATCCATCTTTTGGTTTATAAATAAAACCAGTAAGAGAAACATTTTGAACTTAAACTTCAGCGCAAGGCTCCGGATACTTGGCCTTGCTCTCTGCCTTCTCATCTGTGCTAACAAACTCCTCAGTGCTGGATAGGAGGTGGATGATGGCACAGAGATGCCTGGGATAGATACGTCAGGCCTCTGGGTCCCATTTCCAGTCCCTTACAGCAGGCAAACAGAGCCTTTCAGTGCTTACTGCTGCCCAGCAGGGCTGTGTCTTACTGGGTTGTTTTTTACCTGTGCATATGAACATGTAGAGGCCAGAGTTACACGTTGCTTGTCTTCCTCATTCTCCTTCCTATTTTTTGAGATATGATCTCTCATTGAACTTGGGTGCACTCTGATTGGTTAGGCTGGCTGGCCAGCAAGTAGGAAGGAGGGGTCCTCTTGTCCCGCCTCCTTGGCACTGAGGTAATGGGTGGGCATGCCCCACTGCCTGCAGTTCTCAGCACAGGTCTGCAGAGCTGTGCAGCAAGTCCTGTGCTGACTGAGCCACCCCCAGCCACCACTGCCACTCTTCTTCAGCTTCTACAGCAAGTGGTGTCACTTAGCAGTCCTCATCCTAAGTGCTCTCTCTGCATCTCCTGCAACTGCTTAGGTGACGAAGTATCTTGTCATCATTTTCAGGAAGTGTGTATATATTTAGGAAATACTCAAAATGTAATTTCTCATGAAAAAATAAAACTAATATTGATCAAAACCTATTAGCAACAGAGACCAAATATAACCTTTCTTAATTCTTTCCTGCTTCAGCTTTGACAAGTACTGTCTGATTTTGTAAATTTTTTGTTTTAGTTAATAACAAACAGTCCAATGGTATATAGCACTTGCTTAGCAAGTTGGAGGCCCTAAACTTCAATCTCTAGCAATACACACACACACACACACACACACACAGACACGACACACAGACACAGACAACACACACACACAGACATACACACATGCACACACTCAGATAAGCCAAGGGCAAGACATATTCAAATTCTAATTATGAATATAATTTCAGAGCCATGAGCAATGTTAGTAAACCTCGAAGGCCTACATAATGCTTACTCTACACATTAATTTTATAAATAATGTAAGCTGGAAGTATTCATATGGCCAGCCAACAGTCATACTACAAAACAATGAAATAAGACTAAGTTCCAGATGACTGGACTGACACATACCCAGGTAATGCTCATGTACTTGAATAACTTCACAGAGCCCAGGGTCTTCTGAATCCAAAGGCAAAATTCCTAAAAATTAAAGTGAGAAGTTTAAGGAGGAAGAAACGCCCCGAATGAATTCATTCCTGATGAGCTATGTTCATGTAAATTCTGTACAGTGAAGTCACAGGGAAGATTCCTGAAGTTACCAGGAAGGGAAAGAAGCATGAACACTGGGACACTAATGACACCTCTTTTCTTTCTCTCCTTTGCCACTCCTGAGTGATAGTAAAGATGATGGCTTCTGTCACACAGCCAACCTGGCGTGTTGTGATGCCCCTTTCCATAGTTTTGCTTCACAGGATGCCCTGGTGTGACGTCAACAGAATCCCATTTTCCTGGAGGCTAGCCAACTTCTCACTCTGCTCTCTTACAAAAGTAAACTTGAGCAACACAGTGTGTCATTCATTTCTTGGGTAAAACAAAAATGGAAGAATAGAATCAGTAGTTCTTGAAAATACAAGTCAGAGCCCATGAAAGCCGCAGACACCTTCCCACACATCTGATCTCCAACGGCATTTCCCAAGGCTTGGAAGGACACTTTCTATGAAGATGTGGACTGTTTCTGAGACAGTTACAAAAGTGACGCTCTACATGTGTTTCAGGACCGTCTGGGATGCAAGCATGAACAGATGTTTATGACATTCTTTCAGTAACTATGGATTTAAGAATAACAAATTGCTTCAAGTTAATTTTTAGTTTTACAAAAGTAGCAGAGAGCTCTCTAGAGTTCAAACTGGGGTGGAGAACAGAGGTTCTACACGGCCCACTCCATCAGCGATCTTCAAGCCCAAGCCTCTGACTCTAGAAATTTCAGTCTGGTCAGACAGTGGAGACCAAGTAGGAAAGCCGGGAATCAAGGTGAACGTGAGGTCTTCCCATTTTCTATCTGCGTTAACTCCTTGACAACCAGACCTAGGCAGGCTTGAGGTGTTCTCCTAACTGAGGTCAAACTCTCAGTCTTCTTCACCAATGGATACTTGAGAGCAAATTTCAAAAGTCAGGAAAAATTTTATTTTTGGAATGTTAGGATTGAACCTTAGGCCTTGTACATGCTATACCTCCAGCCAAAGAAAAGCATTTTTGTCTGAAGTAAGTTGAACATTAATAATTATACAGAAAAACAGATGAGATGATAATAAGATACAGGGCTTGAAATAGGACTTGTGAACTACAACTTACCCACTACTTCATCATCTGGTTGAAAGAATGATACCTTACTGCCAACTAAAGAGCAAAAAAAGGTAAGTGTTAACATCACACAATTACTAAATTTAATTCCTTTATTTAAATATCTTTATTTTACTGTGTGTATGGGTGTGTTAGCCTCGTGTATTTCTGTGTACCTTGTGCATGCTTGGTGCCTATGGAAGTCAAAGAGGGCATTAGATTTCCTGGAACGGCGTTACAGAGCATTGTGAGCCACCATGTGGGTTCTGGGGATCAAACCTGGGCCCTGCAGAAGAGCAGCCAGTGTACCCAACCACTGAGCTGCCTCCCCAGTCCCCCTAAATTTAATTTTTATTAACTGTTAAAACAAATGAAAAAGCCAGACACAGTGAGTAACACCTGTAATCCCAGCACATAGGAGATGGAGTCAGGAGGCTCAAGAGTTTAGGGTCATCCTTGGCTACATGTCCAATTAAAGCCCAGCCTAGGCTACATGAGACCCTTTTCCACAAAAAGTCAAATAAAAATTTAAAGACATGAAATCATTGACTGGATTGTAGAGATTCACTCAAAGAGCCAAGAACGTGTAAGGTGGCACACATCAGGTCTTGTTTCTCTAGAAAACATGAGGCTCACGGGTGTTGACGCTGAAGGAAATGCCATTTCTGTGTTGCTGTCACTGTGGCTGACTTTCAGGAGACAGCACAAAGAAAAACAACACGTTCTGTGGCTTCTGATGACTGTTCTCTCCACCTCTGCCCTCACACCTTGTGGGGCACATCTGTCATCATCTAAGTGGGAGGATCTCAGACACACAATAGGGAATTTCAATAAGTCACATGTTCTTCTGACAGGGCAGGAGGGATGGCTCAGCAGTTAGGATCACTTGTGTTCTTGCAGAGGATCAGGATTCGGTTCTCAGCACCCACAAGAAGGCTCACACTGTCTGTAGCTGCAGTGTCAGGGGATCTGATGCCCTCTCTGTCCTCTACAGGTGTACACACATCCATGTGGACACACACTCATTACAAAACAACAAAAACTACACTTAGAAAATGAATTCTGGCCGGGCGTTGGTGACGCACGCCTGTAATCCCAGCACTCGGGAGGCAGAGGCAGGCGATCACTGTGAGTTCGAGGCCAGCCTGGTCTCCAGAGCGAGTGCCAGGATAGGCTCCAAAGCTACACAGAGAAACCCTGTCTCGAAAACCCCCAAAAAAAAAAAAAAAAAAAAAAAAAAAAAAAAAAAAAAAAAAAAAAAAAAAAAAAAAGAAAATGAATTCTGATTGGCATCCACAAAGTTCTTGAAACTTTTTAAAATTATTATTATCATTATTGTGTGTGTACCCGAGTACCTGCCATGGCAAACACATGGGAGTTAGTTGCTTTGCAAGCAGAGAATGGACTTAGGTTCGGTTTGTGTAGTAAAGTGCTCTTACTGGCTGAACCATCTCTTTGGCCCAGTTCTGGGCACTTGGAACTATGGTGATATGATACTGTTTCTATCTTCTACCACAAATGTGTGCATGCACATACACACACACCTGCCAAAAGTCAACTCATTTGTTGTACTTTTGTCCTAAGAGTTATAAGATGAAATGGCAAGAAAACAGTCCAATGCTGTTGACTGCCTTGTGCTCAGAAACTTTCTATAAGCCTTATAGTACATTTATAGTACATCTTATGGTGTATTTATATTAAACCTTATAGTATACCTTATGGTAGGTATACTGTATAGTATATTTATAGTATACCTTATAGTACACCCTAAGTATACCTTATAGTATACCTTACGGTATATCTTATAGTATAACTTATAGTACACCTTATGGTGTATTTATAGTATATCTTATAGTATATTTACAGTATACCTTAAGGTATATCTTACAGTACACCTTATAGTATACCTTATGGTATACCTTGTAGTGCACCTTATAGTATGTTTATGGTATCCTTTATGGTATACCTTGCAGTATAGTTATAGTATCCCTTATAGTATATTAATAGTATATCTTATAATATACCTTAAGGTATATCTTATAGTACACTTTATAATATATGTTATGGTACACCTTGTAGTATACCTTTTATGGTATACCTTGTAGTAAACCTTATAGTATATTTATAGTACACCTTATAGTATCCCTTACAATATATTTACAGTATACCTTATAGTATATTGATAGTATGCCTCATAGTGTACGGCATTATTCTCCTAATCTACAGACAAGAAAACTAAAGTAAAATGGCTCCAGAACTCATCTATTGGTACTGAGCAAGTGACTCTAAGTCAGCAAATCTGTTCTCCCTTGCTTGCTCTCTTTGGGGACCCACTGTGCCATTACCTGCAGTCTCCTGGCTCCTGGCTCACTGAGTCTTTCCTCTGCTCTCATGGTGGTTTACATTCTCCTGGGATCACCTGGTTGCTTTCTCTAGCTTCTTTCACAACTCTTTATTACACTGTCCCTGGAACACGGGGATTCCAAAGGTTCCTCTTTATGAATACTGGCTCCCTGGCTCACTCATCAACTCTGGTTTTGTTTTTTTAATCTACACACTGATACTTCTCAAATGGAATTATTTCCTGCATAGGACTCTCACCCTCCAGAATCAACTCATGCAACTGCTCACTAGGTATTACAAGTGAGACATATCCACCTCCCTGGACCTCAACTAGAGTAAGTCTGAACTCTTGATTATGTCATTTACAGCTCTCACCTCTTCTGATTCCACTGAGGTCAATCAATTATTAACTGTGGCTGACTTCATTTCCTCAATATTTTCCAGTCAGTCCCTCCTCTCTGTCACACTGTCCAGCTCATGGACATTGTTATCTCTTGTGTTGCTCTATGACCCATGCTACCAGTCCTCTTGACTAGGAAGTGGTTTGCCTCAAATCTACCCTTTAACAGCTAACCTAATAATCTCATTTGTAATGCTCACCAAGCATCTGGCTGGCTCTGGTCAACCCTCCTGTTTGTTTCTTTCTGAGAACAAGATTGTTTTCAAATATTCTTTTGTTCACTATCTTTTATTCTCTTACATTTGCAGAATAATTTTCTTTTTTTCTGCCAGCAGTAATGACAGAACCCATGGCCCTGAGTTTGCCAGGTAAGCACTTTCCCACTGAGGTATACACTCAGCCTTGACATTATCCCTTTATACAGTGTTTGTAAACAAGTCCAAGTTAAGTCCAAGTCTAAGTCAGCTGTGGAGCAACATGGACATAACCATCAGCAACTACACTGAATTAAGTTTTCAAAGTTTGCCTTAAGTCAACCATTTAAAAGTAAAGTAGTTTATTCATCTAAAAATCAGAATTGCCATTTCTAAGGAGAAACAACCAGTGAGGTTTTTTCTGATCACCCTAAAGTATTTTTTTTTTTTAGTAAATAATTTTAGCATATAGAACAGGAACCCTAAGTATCTGAAAAGTTTGTTTATGCAGCTAGCCAATATTTAGTAGCAGGTGTTGATGATCCATGTATGTGTACCCTTAGTGCACATACGATGACATTAACCAATTTGGGGTAGAGTGTGTTTGAATTTTACTTGTGATTTTAATGCTAAACAAATGATACTTTCACTATCTGCATGATCTTCATCTCCCCAGACTGCAGGAAAAACATAACTAGATGAGCATTAAGTTCACTGGCTGCTCGGTGAGCACGTGCTTACCTATTCTACATTTAAAAGACAATGCCTGTCCTCAAGAGTTACCAATAAGGAAGACAAATCATTATAAAAGCTCTACGGAAGCCATGTGTTGGTGGCGCACGCCTTTAATCCCAGCACTCGGGAGGCAGAGGCAGTTGGATCTCTGTGAGCTCAAGGCCAGCCTGGTCTCCAGAATGAGTTCCAGGACAAGGGTTATGCAGAGAAACCCTCTCTCAAAAAACAAAACAAATGATAAGACATCATGTATTGGTAACTTTATTAGCTATTGCAAACGTCTTGTAGAAAATACAGATGATACTTACCATCTAACACAATTCCAGCAACTTCTCTTCCAACAGGGAAGAAATCTTTTTCCATCTTCATTTCTGCCAGAAGCTAAATCATAATGGAAGCTGTCAGCAATGCACTACTATAATCCCAACACTTGCCTCAACCCCAGCATGCAGGAGACAGGCTGGTCTGAGCAACAGTGGCTTCTCATGACCAGCTCGGGCTGCACAGAGAGATGGTGTGTTAAAAACCAAACCAACAGCAAACCAACTGACCAACCAACCAAAACACAAACAAACAAACAATAAAAACCCATCTCTTACTTCTGAGAAAGTGGCAACAACAACAAAAGCCCTCACGCCACAGAAACAGCAAAAATGATTCACTTTTGGAATTACATAAAGCAAACAACTTCACAAACCCCTTCTTCCAGAGCGGGAACCATGTTGCTGAGGCACTAGACACAAGGCTGAGGCATGGGTGTTATCGTTCAAACCAGCAGGACATGCTTCCCATTTTTCTCTGACAAGAGGAAGGGAAGGGAAGGTACACCCCCAAACAATTCTCGTTGCCTAAACACTGCTTCCCTGTCACCTATTCAAGAAAGGTGAGTGGAGGGCAGAGAGAGCACTGCTAAACAGGGAGATGTGGAGGGGGGGAGAGAGAGCGCACTTACACAGCTGAACAAGGTGTGGCCAAGCCTCACACCCTTTGAGGATCACCGCGCTGGACTGGCATGGGCCCCCAGTGGGTAGGGCTTGGCTAGCATGCAGAAAGCCCTGAGCTCCACCCCAGCACCACTCGAAAACCAAGCATGGTGGCACAAGTGGCCATCTTGACGGTCAGAATCTACGTTAAGGCCAGTCTGGGTATATAAGAGAGAGTCTGTCTTAAAAAAGAGGAGGGTATCTGGATTTTCCCCCAGTTTTGGGTCAAGGCTCAGTGTTTGTAGGAAAGTTGTCAAATGATTCCAGACTTACTTGGTAAGTGCAGGGCTTTTTGGGTTGGGTTGTTTCCTTGTTTTAAAATACTGATTTATTTTTATTTTATGTGTGTGAGTATTTGCCTGCATGTATGTAAAGGTACCACATAAGTGCCTGGTGCCTACAAAGGTCAGGGTCAGGGTTGGATGCCCTGAAACTGGAGTTATAATTGTTTGTGAGCTCCTATGTGGGTGCTGGGAACTGACCCCAGGTGCTTTCCAAGGACAACAGATACTATTGAGGGCTGAGGCAACTCTCCAGCCTGCCATTATTTTTCAATTAAAAATCAAACAACAACAACAAAAAAGCCCTCTTAGACGTATACTGACTTTCCAGAAATTTCTCTTTTAGTGTGGAACTTCACAGTTTTCCTAGGATGTCCATACATGACTTTCTTGTGGAAACACTGGGGATTTTACTCTCTCTCTCCCTCTTTCTCGTGTGAGTAGTGGTACTGGGGGCAGATCAGAGTTTGTGCATGCTCAGATGGCACTCTGCCATTGAGCCCTTTCTTTTCCTTTGTGCTGTTTTTAGTTATAACCATGGCTTTAGCAATGGCCTTCCGAATCTTTCGTTTACCATACTCATTTTCTTACATTAGTGTGTCTTCATAACCGTCATGCTTAACGGTAGCTAAGAGTTCAGTTTTGGTTTTGTTTGTTTTTGTTTGGTTTCTCGACACAAGGTTTCTCTGGTAGCCCTGGCTATCCTGGAACTCGCTCTGTAGACCAGGCTGGCCTCAAAGTCACAGAGATCCGCCTGCCTCGGCTGGGAGTAAAGGTGTGCACCATTACTGCCTGCCTGTAATAGTTAATTCAACTGCTATGTGTCATTTCTTCCTGTGAGTGGAAGGCAGAGTGCTTGCCTAGCATTCCCAAGGTTCAGTCCTCAACAGCACCATGACCAGAATCTGTGCAAGCCTCATAAAGTTTAATAGTAACTGACTGGACAGCATCTCCACTGAGCAGGCACACATTAGATACCACCAGGCTTTTAGTCACGGACATCTGAAACATGTGCCAAAATCAATGTTCTTGTCTGTATTCCTTCTTGTTGCAGACTAAATGGGCTCTTCTCACACTGCCTGACATGCTTCTAGCCCCGACCCCAATGTGACTATGTTTGAAGACAGAGACTTTAAGAAAGGAACTAATGTTAAATGAGGTTGTGAGCGTAGACTCCAATCCAGCAGGACTGGGGACCTAGGATAACAGTGACACCAGGAGCGGGCACACACAGAGGAAATGCCATGTGAGCAAGGAGGTCATTCACAAACCATGAAGAACAGACCTGAGGCCTGCCTGCTGTACACTGACTTTTCCCCTTCAAATCTGGGTAAAGTTTTAGTTGTTCAAGTCAAAAGGCCAAAGAAAAACCACAATTAAACAAACAGCAACAAAACTCCCAAAACAAAAACAGGAGAAAAATCTGGATCTAGAGGAACACACCTATAATCTAGTACCTGAGAGACTGAGGCAGGAAGACTATAAGTCTAAGGCCAGCCTGGGCTACAATAGTAAGGCCAGCCTGGGCTATATAGTGAGAACCTGTCTCACTACAAGACCTGAAAACACTTATCACGGCATGTTTTATCATGGCATGTTTAACCATTTATTCACCATTTAAAGACTTTTTTTTCTTTTAAGACAAGGTTTCACAGTGTGGTCATGGCTGACTGGGAACCAGCTATGAAGACCAGACCTGCCTCAAACTCTCAGAGGTCTGCCTCCTGGGTGCTGGACTTATGTGCTACCATGACTGGGCCAAAGACAACTGTTTTCTTTTTTGACATAGTATTTCTCTGTGTAGTCCTGTCTGTTCTGGAACTCGCCCTATAGACCAGGCTGGCCTGGAACTTAAGTTAAGGCCAGCCTGGTCTACAAAGAGAGTCTAGGACAGTTAGGATTTATTATACAGAGAAACCTGCCTTGAAAAACAAAACAAATATTATACATATTATATATATGAATATATGAAATATTTGTTCTAGTTCAGTTTCTTTTTTAATAATTTATTCTTTTAAATTTCATTTTACAAAAAAGTAAAGAAAATTTATTTTTTTAAATAAAAAAAATATAAAAAAATAAATTTCATTTTACATTCCAACCACAGTTCTCCCTCCTACGCTTCCTCTCGTCCCCCCTTGCTTCCCCATGAGCCCACCCCCAGTCCACTCCTCTTCATAGGAAAGGGCTCCCATGAGGAGTCAACAAAGTCTGGCACAATAGGTTGGGGCAGGGCCAGGCCCCTCTCCCATGCATTAAGACTGAGCATGGCATCCAACCATAGGGAATGGGCTCCAACAAGCCAGCTCATGTACCAGGTTTGTATTGTGGTCCTACTACTGCCAGGGGCCCCTCTGATAGTCCAAGCTTCACAACTGTCTCCCACATATGGAGGGTCTAATTCGGTTCCCTTAGTTCAGTTTTTCTCATGAAAATAATTTCTTGGCGCTCAGAAATCAATTACCACTGTACATTATATATACTCTGGAATTCCCATTTGCCCTTTGGCCACAATGAAAGCACCAATACCTTTGTGTTTATCTGGCTCAGAGCACAAGCTTTAACTTGAAGTTTCACGAAGTTATCCTCTGTAACAGGGAGACTCTCCTAGAACAAATAAATGTTACACATTCAGATTGTGAAATGTCTATATGCATTTTTTTTAAATCAGAAGCAAGCTTGTTTTCCATGTCAATCCCAACTCCCTCTCCCTCCCCTCCTCCCCTGCCCTCCACCGATCCCCTATCCAGTCCCCTTTCTGCTCCTAGGGAGGGGGAGGCCTTCCATGGGGATCTTCAAAGTCTGTCCTATCATTTGGGGCAGGGCCTAGGCCCTCCCCGTGTGTCTAGGCTGAGAGAGTGTCCCTCTATGTGGAGAGATTTCCCAAAGTCCATTAGTGTACTAGGGATAAATATTGATTGATCTACTACCAGAGGCCCCATAGATTAACCAGACCTCCCAACTGACACCCATGTTCAGGGCATCTAGATCAGTCCTATGGTGGTTTCCCAGCTATCAGTCTGGGGTCCATGAGCTCCTCCTTGTTCGGGTCAGCTGTTTCTGTGGGTTTCACCAGCCTGGTCTTGGAAATGTCTATATATAATTGAAAAGATAAACTAATGCCGAATCTTATGATTAATAATTATCTAATAGTATGTGATAAAAAAGAAGAAAAATTAGGAGTGTAATTTTAAAAAGCTTTAATATCTTTATTTTAAAAGCACTCAAAGACCAACATGGATGAATGTAGGAACAAACTGGGCTTCATAGAATACAATGGCAAATAGTGTATTTTAACCTAAATAATTCTTTACAGTATACATACATCAGACAGCCTTTGCTAAACTCTGGAATTTCTCTCACGCTATGAATGAAATTCTTCAATGTTACTTGTACGTCTATTTGTTAACAACTACCCCAGAAGCTTCAGCACATCCCATAGTACTTTGCTGTCAAAACATTAACATAATGGAATTTAACGACCTCTTACACTCTAGTGATATAAAGGAACAAAGGCAAAAAATACTCCAAATTGAGGCATTCAGAGTTGTCCAACCATTAAATATAATATCACTTCTCCCAGACACCTGGATTCTGGACCACAAACTGCAGTGTGTCCTTAAGTGGCACACGGTCAGCTCTTGCACACCCCCCAACTACACTTCTACTTGCCACACACGACATCAGGGAAGCCACTTTACTAAATCTTGGATCTGTTGTTCAGTAATACAGATGAAGACAGTGATTTTGATGAATGTGTTAATTTTACCCAGAGAAAAGTTTTACTGAGATGCAATCAAACCTTAGATTCTTTTCCTGACTTTTCAGTGGTAGGAGTGAGCTGTCTGAGACATAGTCTTAGACTGCTCTAAACCACGCTGGAGTTAAGGAGCAACAAGAGAGGAAAAACACATCCTGTTCTCACTTATCACCCAGAGAAGCCAACAGAGAGCCCAGCACCGCTTTCACCCTGAAACCCACCGGGAGATGATTCTGGCTTGATGCAAACCTTATAAATAGTCACCACTACGTCTTAAAAGCTTAACGGATGAGGTACGTTTAGGAAGTGCCTCAATTTGTATAGAAAATAGATTTTCTGTCTCTTCCATTTAACAATACAGATATTTTCTATCATGTGGCTACAGTCAGAAAACCTGCTTTCTTACAGTATTCACATTGCTGGGGACAAACTTGTGAGCCTGTGGATGCTAGGCTAGAATGTGCACTGAGCCCCACGCTAACTCACCCGGGTCCATTTTGTATGTAACATGCAGGCTTGGAACTAGTTGGGTCTTCCCAGTATTTTCACAGCACAAACAATACAGCAGCTCCCTTTAAAGGCACTTCAGTTTTTAAATTATGTGTATACGTAAATATGGGTTTGGCACATGAGTGCAGTGCCAAGGAGGCCAGAGAAGGCGATGGATCCTCTGTAGCTGGACTTCCAAGTGACTGTGAGCTGCCTAACATGGGTGCTGGGAACTGAACCTGGGTCTTCAGCAAGAACAGTCTATGCTCGTATCCATGGAGCCATGTCTCAGTCTGTGTAGCAGCTCTTCTAAAACTACAGTTACACTGCAATACGAGCTCCATTTTCACATAAGGTCAAGGGAAAGTAAGACAGGGAGGTGGCTTAATAATAACTAATAATAACTAATAACTTAACTAATAACTCATTTAAAAGTGAGTCTGGGGTCCATGGATGGCTCTACTTGGGAGACAGGCCTCTGAGCGTCCCTGTGGGGAATTAATTACATTGATTGCATTTAAAGAGACGAGAAGACTAACCCAGGGTAGGTAGCCCCGTTCTCTGGCTGGGTCCTGGACAGGGTGAGAGAGGGAGCTGGACTGCAGCCTACAGTCATCCCTTGCCCTCTTGACACAATGTGACAAGCCAACTTGCCCCAACTGTGACTTCCCTGTTATGGTAGACTCTAATCTGGACCTGAGAGTTAAATAAGTCCTTTCTCCCATAAGTTGCTTTTGTCTGAGCATTTTTTTTTAAATTTTTTTTTTTAAGATTTTATTTATTTATTATGTATACAGTCTTGTGCCTGCATGCCAGCAGAGGGGACCAGATCTCATTCAGAGCCACCATGTGGTTGCTGGGAATTGAACTCAGGACCTCTGGAAGCACAGTCAGTGCTCTTAACCGCTGAGCCATCTCTCCAGTCCAACAAATTCTTTTTTTTTTTTTTTTTTGGTTTTAGACAGGGTTTCTCTGTATAGCTTTGGAGCCTATCCTGGCACTTGCTCTGGAGACCAGGCTAGCCTCGAACTCACAGAGATCCGCCTGCCTCTGCCTCCCAAGTGTTGGGACTAAAGGCGTGCGCCACCAATGCCCAGTTTTGTCTGAGCATTTTATCACAGCAGCCAAAACCAAACAAAGACAATTATACATGGAAAGACATTATCTTATCTAATGATTAGATAATTTATTCTTACCCTTTCTTGAAATAGGAATGTTATTTCTTCATTTGTAGAGCTCTGTTGAAAATACAAGCCCTTCATAGTTACCTATAACAAACAAACAAATATAAGTTAAAAAAACAAAAACAAAAACAAAAACAAAAACAAAAAAACCAGTCTTCTTGGAGGCTGGAGACAGCTCAGTAGGAGAACTTACTGCTCTTCCAGGGTACCCAGGTTCAATTCCTAGCACCCATGTGGTAGTCTACAACCATCCTTAACTCCAGATCCAAGACATCAGAGGCTCTCTTCTGGCATCCTTGGGCACTAGGCATGCACGTGGTACACAGAAATAGATGCAGGCAAAATACCATACACAGAAAGCAAAAATTTAAAAAGTTTTTAAAAACGAAAATAAGTAAATAAATCAAGTGTGTTTGTCAGATGAGAACAAATGGGAAAAACTGTCCAGACAAGGAGAGAAAAAGCAACTATAAATGTAACCCGCAAGCAAGTAGGTGCAGACGATTCTTCTTCCATAAAACAAACAGGAGGCCTTGCCAGAGGCTCTGGCACATGCCTGGGCTCCCAACACTATGGTGGAAGAGGCTGATGATCCAGAGCTGAAGGCCAACTTGGGCTACACCATCTCACAAATAGAGGGGGAGATAGAGATGGACTAGGATGAGTACTACCACAGGTTCTTGCCGAAGAGTCGGGTTTCAGGCACTGTGGCACAAGCTGGACCCTGCATTCAGTAGGCTGAGGTAGCACCGCAAGCTTGAAGCTAGCCTGGGTTACATAGTCAGACGTTGTCTTAAAAGGAAAGAGAGGTTTCACTTTCCTTCTCAGTAACAAATATTATACATATTTAAAAGAGACCAATAACAATAAAAAGTCTTACAAGGGCCAGATAGGCAGGCCAAAAATGTTCAAAGGTAGCTTTAAAATGCTTTCAAACACTTAGCAAGGCAAGTATGCATGGCCAAGACCCTGGCTGAGATTATCATCTCTATTCTTCTACGGCAGCCTTGTTTTCATAATTCTCATCATATAGTTCATGCTGACCCCAAACTCAGGCTCCTTCTGCCTCAGTCTGCTAAAGGTTTGGATTACAGGGGTGTGCCACCATGTCCAAATCCTATAAGCTTTTTTAATTTTTATATTTTAAATAGGTTTTTAGAGATTTATTTATGTGTATGAGTGTTTTGTTGCACATATGTGTTTGTACTAAGTGTATGCCTTGCGCCTGAAGAGGCTAGAAGAGTCCCCTGGAAGTGAGTCACAGACGGTTGTGAGCCACCATGTGGGTGCTGGGAACCAGACAGAGTCCTCTGAAAGAGCAGTCAGTGTTCTTCACTGCTGAGCCATCTCTCCAGCCCACCCCACCCCCTTTTATTTTTTAACAAAAAATAAAGATTTTGGTTTCAATATACATTTGATGTGTATTGATGAACATGCATGTGTACACATGCATTTGGAGACCAGAGGCTGACACTGGGTATTTTCCTCTTTCCATCTTATTTATATTTTTGGAGACAGGGACTCACTATAAAGCTTTGGCTAGCTTTGAACTCAGAGATCCACTTGCTTCTGCTCCATGAGTATTGGGATTAAAGTTTTGAGCGATCACGTCCAGCCACCTTATTTTTTGAGGCAGGGTCTCCCACCAAACCAGGAGCTCATCAGTTCATCTAGACTGGATGGCCAGTGGCACAAGCCCTATCCTGTCACCTTGACACAGCTAAAGTCACCAGAGGGGAGGGAGCCTCAGGTAAGAAACTGCTTCTGGTCTACAGGCATAGCAAAGGATCATTAGGACTTGATATGCCATGCTTGGCTGATACCCTTGGGAGGCCTACCCTTTTTCTAAAGGGAAATGGAGGAGGAGTGAATCTGGGGGGAGAGCAGAGGTGGGAAGAGAGAGGAGGGAGGAGGAAACGGGGAGGGGACACTGCAGTTGGGGTATAATATATGAGAGAATAAAAAAAAAAAAAAGAGGAATTGCTTCCATTAACATGGGGCTGTAGGCAAAACCATATGACATTTTCTTAATTAGTGATTGATGTGGGAGGGCCCAGTCCATTGTGGGTGGTGCAATCCCTAGGCTGGTGGGTCCTGGGATCTATAATAAAGCAGGTTGAGCCGGGCGTTGGTGGCTCACACCTTTAATCCCAGCACTCAGGGAGGCAGAGGCAGGTGGATCTCTGTGAGTTCGAGACCAGCCTGGTCTACAAGAGCTAGTTCCAAGACAGCCTCCAAAGCCAGAGGGAAACCCTGTCTTTAAAAACCAAAAAAAAAAAAAAAAACCAAAAACCAGGCAGAACAATCCAGGGGGAGCAAGACAGAGGACCACCCCTCCAAGGCCTCTGCATCAGCTCCCGCCTCCAGGTTCCTGTTCTGCTTGAGTTCCTGTCCTCACCATTTTTGATGATTATTCAAGTGTGAGTGAAACAAACCCTTTTCTCCCCAAGTTGCTTTTGGTCATGGTGTTTCATCACAGCAAGAGTAACCCTGACAGAAACATTCTTCTTAGATCCTCCTGTCCCCATCTCCCTGGTGCTGGAGTTACGGGTCTGGTGGCTATGTCTAGCTTGTTTACATGAGTGCTATGGACCCAAACTCAGGTCTTTACACTTGTGAAGGAAGCATTTCACCCACAAACACCCCCTGCATGTGATGTGGTTTGTGTACATGTATGTATGTTTGCATGTGTGTGTATGTGTGAGGTCAGAGGATGACACTGGGTGTCTTCCTCAATGGCTCTTATCTTACATGCTGAGATCAGGTCTCTCACTTGAACCCAGAGCAAACTCATTGGCTTGGCCTAGGTAGCTGGCTTGCTCTGGGATTCAGGTTGGCTGCTGTACCCACCTGACATTCTGTGAGTGCTAGGGACACACACTGTAGTCCTCACCCTTGGACAGCAAGATCTTTGCCCACTGAGCAGTCTCCCAGTTTATTTATTTATTTAGTTTTTTGAGACAGGGTTTCTCTGTGTAAACAGCCTTGGTTGTCCTGGAACTTGCTCTGTAGACCAGACTGGCCCAGAACTCACAGAGATCCCAGTCTATCACAGAACTATTCTAGTGGTTTACATCTTGGGAAGTTATTAAAGTGTTTCTCTACACCCCCCCCCCAACTCTGCATCCCAAGTGGGCCCAGAGCCCACTTGGTAGGCCAGGTTGTCCTTAAATTCCTAGTAATTCTACTGTGTTGGCTTCTGGACTAGCAGAGTTACAGGTGTGAGCCACCATGACAGATTGTTTACTTTTCCAAAATGTAAACTTTACAGACATATGCACTACATAGAGAAGTGCACGCAGACTGTTAGGGTAGTCTGTCCAATCAGAAGTGAATACACTGATGGCCCGGCAGGAGCCATCTAGAACATCTGAAGCTCTACAAGCATGTCAGGCTATGGCCTTCCTTCCCTTCCCAAGGACCAGCTCCTTTTGAAGTGCACAGAAACGAGACCCCATTCTTCCCATTTACTCACTTTCTCCTGCTGTGGCTGTGGGCCCCATGCACGCTGCTGCTGCTGCTGCTGCTGCTGGCTGCAGTCTACCTATGCTTGCTCACTGTGTATCACCTTACTGTAAGAATGCTTGCAGCCCCACAACATTTCTGTATATGCTCTTTGCATTTATTATATGGATGAGGAACTGAGCATGCCCTCATCCACTTAGGGAGGTATCTTAAGGGGATTAAGATTCATCCAAGAGCTCACAGTACCAGTTGGGCTGGAGCCTTGAAGTTACTGCTTTGACCTGTCCCAGTCTTTAGTGGTGTCTACTGAGCCGCTGACATGATACACTCACCCAGAACTACAATACTTTATCCTGTGGGACAGACTATTCAGTACTTGCCGATAGATCTGTTGTTTTAATCTGCAGGTCCCAAAGCAAAGCAAAGCAAAACAACAGCAACAGCAAAGAAAGTGGGAACCTCATCTAGAAATTACTAGAATTTCCAAGTGGGCAATAGCAGACTATAAAGCCAAGCATATGTCCTTATAAGAAGAAGCCCAAGGACCTGCACAGATCTCATTCCCATAAAACCAGTTGTCTGTGCTAGGACCTCTGTGGACCTATATCAATCCCTATAAAAGAGTGGTATCGAGAAAGCAGTAAGGGTTGCTGCTTTCTAGGATGAGATAATCAAATGCAGAAACTACCTGCAAACACACATTTAAGACATGAAGTTATGTATCAGTTATCAACAGTGCACAAAACGGTGAAAACACAGCTCAGCGTCAGTGTGTGTTGGACTGGGAAGGGGAGGAAGAGGAGGAAGAATAAACGCAGACACAGCATGCATGTCCCACATTACATATTTCAGCTTCTGCTTAGCTTTCGAGGCTCTCTGAAGCCATATGCTCTTCCTAGTCTACCTTATTCCACCCACAATGTTTCAGCACAAACTTGTTTGATCAAATCAGTGTGACTTAACACACATCTATCCTATCATGGGTTTCTAGGCACAGCCTATTCTTGAGAGTATGCTGCACTAGTCCACTGATGCTGCTGAGTAAGGTCCAAATCCAGTTCCCTCCTCTGTACTGGCTACTGCAGGATGGGTAGTAATGCATCCCGCCTGCTCCACACTGTAGATTACTATTACTTTATTTACTTACTAGTAAGTGAGCTTTCCCAGATATCACTTGGATTCTTTCTCCACTCTTTGGCTTATTTGTTTTGAGACAGGGTCTTGATTTGTAGCCTAGCCTGGCCTTGAACTCTGAATTCTCCTGGCTGCCACCTGTGTACTGGGATTACAGGTGTGCACCACATGCCCTGTAAAACCATTATTAAATAAACAAAATTCTGCTCCTATTTAGCTTGGACCTACTAGGGTCGGCTTTTCTAAGAGTGGAACTCAAGGTGTTCTGTAATAAGGCCCTGAGTTTAAAGCACCTCCCTTTGTAGCTCTAGAAGCCATTGTTTTCTCTGCCTACTGAATCTTCGATGTGTAGTCTGGGTCAACAGTCATGTGGACCTTAAACTAGGACCTAGTTTCAAAGACCTGGGGGATTATTCTGCACACTCCAGAATCTTCTGAAGCATCAGTGTGTGTGTGTGTGTGTGTGTGTGTGTGTGTGTGTGTGTGTGTGTTTAAAATAAGGATTAGTTAATCTAATTAAGAACTGTCTGGGCTCAAAACCATTTTCTACCTTACAAAGTAAAGAAAAAGATGTTTCTTTGTTTTGTTTTTGTTTTTTGAGACAGGGTTTCTTTGTGTAGTCCTGTATGTACTGGAACTCATTCTG